ATTGACCCATCGTTGAGAGCATCATACCAGCATCAACAATTCTACTTACCCCCAAAAAATATTCAATGTTGTTGTGCCACACAATTTATCACAAAATTGGACACAACTTTTTAAAATTGAACATTTTTTGAAATTTATAGAATAATTCTAAGTCCACACAATTTTATCACAGAATTTGACACAACTTTTTCATGTGAGATGTAACCATTAAATGTGTGAGTCCCGCCTCCATGTGAAAGAAGTTGTGTTTGATTATGTGATCGGATTATGTGCACGTAAAATAATTGATCAGAATGAGAACTCATCAGTAGGGCCCGCATTGACTAAACTAATGTACTGCAAAGAGACTTTTTGTCCAAGGAACTCATGAACATTATCAAGAGTGGAAGGATTGAAGTCATTGAAATCCAAAACATTATTTTGCTGTAAGTATGCCCAGGCCAAGTTCCCCAATACCCTGTTATTCCAAAAATAGTCTTCACTCTAATGTTGAGGCATTTCAATCTGTTCTTCAATTCTACCAGATCTCTGTAATAAAATGAAAATGTATACTCAAAGATTTGTCTTGGTCACCAAGTAATTAAAGAGAGTATTCAAGATGTCAAACTATAACTATTAGGCTAAATGGGAAAGAGAAAACAGAGGGGAAAAAAAAGTTTTTTTAATTAGGATCATTTTAGAACTAAAACCCCTTACCATGAAGATTCAAGAAACTACTAAAATGTTATTTTAAATTCATCACGACAAAGTTCTCAAAAAAGGCTTGAAATCCATTTGTAAACTATGAAATCTAAATTTGAACTAGTTCCTTGAATAAATAGTGCCAAATCATTTAATTTCCTATCCATTAAATCCAAACACAACCTATTCCAAATGCCATGAAAATCAAAAAGGCATTTTTTCCAAATGCTATGAAAATCACACCAGTCATCCATACACAAAAGTTGCATTTCCAAATTCTCCTAATTGTTACCAACAAAATTCACATCAGATCAACAGCTATATCTGTAACAACCCTTGTCACTGTTTACCGATTAACCACTGATTACTGCTAAATTGAGACTGATTATGATTGGTAACTGAATTGATTGAAGTATTGAACTGACTGACTGAAATCTGGAACTGAATTGATTAAGTATATCTGTTTAATTGTATGTCTATCTGTTGACTGTTTGATTATCTGTTCATGCCTTTGTGTTTAAATTGCGAATTGAAGGCCTTATCGGCGGCCGAATTTGAAATTGATTGATGATTTGTGTTCATTGGAATTTATATGATTTTATGGTGTATTTATCTAAAATGTGATTTGGTATGATTAAATTAGATTAAAATGAGTTAAATTGCAATAGTTGGCTTAATTACCAACATGCCACTTAGTGGACCACTTAGGCAACATATTTGAGCTTTATTATACATTCAACACAACATTTCATCAGGCTCTTTCCTTGTTATTGTCGACCAAGAGAGGAGAGTGGGAGGTTTGGAATGAATTCAACTTGATTTTGTGTATTGGCTTGAAGAATTGGAATATAGGTTGCAAATTAAGCTTCCTCACCTTGTATTGGAGACCTAGGTAAGGGAATTCAACCTCTGATTGTTGTGTTTAAGCTTGTTCTTGCATGGTTTTGAGCAAAGTTGAAGTCTAGAGCCAATTTATGGCTCAAATTGTTGAATTGGAGCTTAAGTGTTGCATGCATGTATATATATTGAAGTTTTGAGGTTGTAGTCCATAATTCCTCACATGCATGTCCATGTTTTAAGAGTAGTCCATGATTTCATCATGTTTTTAGAAAGAATAGCTCATTTGAGCTTGTATTGAAGCTTTGAATTGGTTAGATTCATGCATGTTTGCATGTTTTTCATATTCTTGAAAATTGGTTTGAAATTGAGTTGTTTAAAACACTCTTGGGCCTTGATTTTACAATTGAGCTTTGGAATCATGTTAAACTATGAGTTTTGGGATGTTTTCTGGAAAATTGGCCCAAGAGGATCGAAATTCATGTTTTAAAACTTGGTTTTGAGCTTGAGGTTCAAATCTAGAATTTCCATAATTTGGACTCACGCTCGAGCGGGGTGACTGGCGCTCGAGCGTGGAAATCGTGCTCCCAGCACTCTGCACTGTTTTGAAGTCCGCTCGAGCGGTATAATTGACGCTCGAGCGGGACCTTGTGTCTCACACT